GCACAGGGCAGCAACTTCTGTATTTGGCAGCACCAGGTGGCTCTGACTTTAAGTCCCCATGGGAGAAAAAGATGAAGGGGAGGCAGCCATGTCCTCTTCTGCAAAGGTAAGTCCAGAATGGAGGCAGGTGAGATGCTAGCTTTCAGGGAAGGAAGGAGGCTGGAGGCTCTTGAAAAGAGGCAGGAGCTCAAAGAACGCCGGGGAAAAGGCAGCTCGAGGGGGTGGCCTGTGTGCGTGAGAGTAGGAGTCTGAGCATGGGGTTTGTGCGAGGGGTGTGACAGATGTGAATACGGGGGGGTGTGAGCAATTTGGGGGGGGTTCCAGAAGATATGTGAGGACTTTCGAAGATGGGGGGTGTGAAGGCAGGATGGGTAGGTGCAGAGATGTCAGAGGTGAGGGGAGTCTGTGGGGCAATGCCAGGGTGAGTAGGAATAGAAGGGGGTGTAGGGGTGAAGAGGTATGAAGTGGTAAAGGGTTTGAGAGGGGTGAGAGAAGTAAGGAGGGGGGAGGAGCTCTAAGGGGTTTGTGGGGGGGAGTGGAAGGGAGGGAGAAGAGGGGTGCTGTGAAGAAGTGTGAGGAAGAAAGCCTTTGTGAAGGGTTGAGGGAGTATGAGAGGGTGAGAAGGTCTGAGGCCTAAGAGGAGGTGGGGGAAGGGGAGGGGATGGCGGAGTGGGCCAGGGCAACCCCTGCCAGGCTGCTGCACAGAGACTGAGGGAGTGGGCCAGGGCAACCCCTGCCAGGCTGCTGCACAGAGACTGAGGGAGTGGGCCAGGGCAACCCCTGCCAGGCTGCTGCACAGAGACTGAGGGAGTGGGCCAGGGCAACCCCTGCCAGGCTGCTGCACAGAGACTGAGAGTGGAAATGAGTAGGGATCAGACGTGTGCGAGTGACTGAGTTGGGAGCCAGGAAACTCCTGGGCCTCCATCAGGCTGCTTTCAGATAGAGCAGAGAATGACTCTCCACCCCTCAAACACTCTTGGTACCTGCCAGGCTCACACTGTCTGTGGGGATCACCTTCTTTGAGTGACTGCTTGCCACAGGTGCTCCGCTATGCCCTCTTGGCAAATGATGGGACTCCTGAAATGTCAGGTGAGAACTAGTTTCCATACTGTCCACTGAGGCCTGCACCGTTCCCTCCCACTTCTTTAACTCTGAATTCACAACTTTTACAAAAAAGAGCATCAGGTTCAGGGTTTTCCATGACTGTCCATAGGAACAGTTTCCATGGATCCAGGTCTTAAATCTCACCTCCTGGGCAAGGCTCTGCATGCCCCCTTCCAAATGCCCTTTGGAACCCAAGCCCTGCTCTGTATTGCCCCAGCTTCCCCATTCTCTTTGCAACAGTAGGTAATTGGGGTGTGAATCAAAATGCAGGTGAAAGAACTTGTTCTCTGTAGCAAGAACAAGTAGGCTTGTCACCAACCAGGCGACGGCTGGTCTCTGAACCTAGACTACCCAGACTTGGGCGTGACCTGGCTATTTGCATGTACAAGCACAGTGCCTGGAAGTGGCATATTTGGGCTATTCCAACTCAAGTTCTGTAATTAAGAGTTAAGTTTTCATGTGCATAATAGAATGAAATTTAATAGCAAGTTATTAATGAGGATTTTTAAAGTAATATAAGCCACATCTATGTAAATTAGGAGACAAAAATTTCCTTAGAAGGGCTAGAGTGGGAGGAAGGTCCGCGGTGTTCCCTCTAGCACCTGCAACCTAACCCACTTCTTCACGTTCATTTCATTCTATAGTCAAATGTAGGATTCCACAGAAACTGGCAGATGCCCTTCTATAATCAAGTCAGTAAGAAAATTATTAAATAGAGGCTAATATATATTATAGAGTTATTTAAAAGATTGTAAAACTTTGGTGTCAACTATAGGCCATTATTTTACCTTTAATGAATATTAATTTCATATGAAAAGAAATTTTCAACAGAGATTTTTCTCAAATACTCAACTCATGAGAACAAATTTACCTTAATTTTTCAAATGTAGTTTTAAACTAATATTTTTACCTTTTTTGCTCTGAGAAAAATAACATTACCATGAAAGGTCAGTTTTTCCAGAAACAATATTTAATTTCTACTTCCTTCTCCATTAAAGCTGTTTTTCATTTTACTACTAATAGTTTCAGCAATTATGCTAAGTCTTTAACAAATTACTGCATGTCCTCTGAACACTGCTAGATTAAACCAACTACAGATTTCATAATATAAATATTCAACAGTTTTTTTTGCCAGAAATATGTACAATGTCTAGCTGTTTGTCAGCAATAGATTGAATTAATCATCTCTCATCTTCAATTTGATTCATTATAGTTAAATAAGTAATTGAATACTCGGACAACATACTTGAATTGTTGGTGCCTCGGATATAGTTCACCTATATCCTGTATGTTTTACATATCCTATATATGTTTTATATGATATGTAGATTTTTTTAACTTGATGTGTTTTATTAAAATATATCTATTTCTCACTAAGCAAATTTGAAAGTTTTTAACTCCTAAACTGATTTTTTACAACAACTACACTTGGACCTAAGTCTCTCAGAGTCATCCTCCTGGGTTGTGTTTCCTGGGTCCCAATCCACCCATAAGCCTGGACCAGCTTCATCCAGCACAAGCACAGTTACAGGGTCTCTCGGACCTGGCCACGCTTTTGACATGTCACTGTAGAATGTCTGTGCATTTGTATATGTTTCATTTCTAAGTTCTCTCAAAGATTAGGGAATGGTGAGAAGGGACAGAGGGAAGAAAATGGCTGGAGTCACTTTGCTTTAAAATAAAACAGTTCTTTCAAAAATAGGATGATTACAAGTTTAAGAAAATGGGCAACTATCCTCTGAGGACTCAAACACTATTTCTGTGCATGTGTATCTAGTTGCCTGCACTCTAAACAAAACATAGGGACTGCCATCCGCATCGTTTTCTTTCACACTCACAGAACTGTTTTGAAATAGTTCACACCTGCCACATTATTAATTAAATAATAAGGGTAAACTAATGAATATGATCTGTTAATTAAAAAAATAGGGGCACTCTACTTAATTTTCTCCTAGACCACTTGTGTTCACTCTTCCTGAAAGACTCTCCATGCTACGGTTCTCTGCAAGGTCCTTGTTCTTAGATTTATGTTTTTCTTTTGCCTTCTGGGGTTGTTGTTTATACCTTTCCGCTATTTTTGTGCTATATCAAAATTCTTAAGTAGAACATAGCTTTTTATAAGCTCCCCCGTTCCTCTAACCCATAGCCCACCAGAGAAATGGTAAATTTTGCCCAGAGAACTAGGGACAGGGCTTCCAGCAGAGAACTGGTGACTCGCCCTCCCCTCTACCTGCAGATGGTTACAGGAAACCTGACGGAGACCTGGCCAGCATTTGGATAAAGGACAAAAGTTCTCAGGCATTCAAGTATGCACCCCAAGGCTATGGCTTGAGTCAGCGCTGCTCTGGTCAGCTGCATCCTTTTGTAACGAAAAAAGCAAGCGCTCCTCTCTCCCAAAGGAGTGACATTCCCTAAAGGAACACCGCATACGCCCCCATTTTTCCTAATGTGTCTTCCCTGCCTCTGAGGTCCAATCTGCCCAGAAATTAAGCCCCGGAAATTGGTGAGGTTTTGCCATCCTGCCGGTAATGAAAAAAATGTGTAAAATTTTGAACCCAGCTGGAAGCAACAGCTAAAGGAAGTTCAGGGGATTTTCCCCATGTCAAAGTTCAGGGAAAAGCAGCCCAGTCCTTTAACTCAGCGATTTTTAACTGATATGCTGGGAAACACTGGTGTGCAACAAGAATGTTTAAAACCTGCAATACCTGACTAGTCAGGGGCACTGACCTCTCTTCCCCTAGATTGTCAAATGAAAAAATGACAACAGCCAGCACTGCAATAGCCATCTGGTGTGAGTGAATCAAAATTACACCTTTTTTGTCAGGTTGGCAAAAAAATATATTTTTGGGTGTGCCTCAGAATTTTAGTAATTAGTTTATCTGTGCCATGAGATGAAGAAGGTTGAAAATTGCTGCTATAAATCATTTCAAACACACAATGTGGGGGTTAAAAGAGGGTTTAAACCGATTTTAAATTTTTACAAGATGTTTTGCTTCTCCTGCTAAAGTATTTAATTTTATTGGAGGAAGTATTTAAACCTGTAAAGTTCAGGAATGGAGATAACTTCCCAAGACCCACGGGTTTCTGGGGCCCCGAGAGCCTCTTGGCTCTCATGGCTCCTCCAGGAACAATAAATTCTATGATCTTGGGGTTCATTTTCCAAACCTCCCCATCACCAGTTGCCCCGAGCATTCGTTCCTCACAGTTCTCCCCACTGTCCTCTCTCTTCAGTATCCACTCCCACCTTTGTGGAAAAGTCATTTGTACAAGTGTCATTTTCCACTAAGATGGGAGCGGAAGCGTCATTCGTAAAAAAAAAAAAAAAAGGAAACTACATTCACATGCCCTTTTGATCAAACAAGAATCTGTTGACTCCCCCAAATAGAAACTTTTCTCCACTCCCAATTTTGCTTCCTAATCATTTTTATTGACTTTTCTAAGAAGAAGAAAAAAAGACCAGAGAGAAAGATATGTTTATCTCACATCTAATTGTCTTCTATTTAACCAGCAACTGGCAATCATCCGACGTTAATTTATACGGCGCGTACAAATACCTAAGCGATGTAAAAGGCTCCTCTGGGTCGTGTGTGGCAGGGAACATCTATCTGGTGAATAGGCGGTGTCACACGGTAGCATGCTCCCTTGTCAAGGCCGATTGTGTTTTAGGCAAACATTTGCGCAAACATAAAGGCAAAGGTCAAGGACTGTTCAGTCCCAGTATGTGCTAATTCACCTAGCGAACCAATGGGGCAAAAGTTGCATTTTATATGCGCGCCCGCCGGACCCAGGCGCGGAGTCGCGCCTGCTAGTGAACAGAACCGCCTCCAATGAAGGGTCAGCTCCCTCCTCAGTTGCTCCCCGGCTGCCCAGCCCGCGTCTCCTGGCCTCCTCGGAAATCACTGGCGCAGACGTTTGCCAACATCTGGATCAGCTCCGCCCAGCCCCCGGCGCAGCGCCTGTTTACTCCACGGCCTCGGGCGAGGGGAACTAGTAGCGATAAAAGCCGGGGTGAAGGCAGGCGCCGGCGGGTCGCTGCGCAGCGATTGCGTGGACGACCCCTCCGCGCGCGGCCTGAATGCCCGCGTCCTGAGACGCAGCCGGCCCGCAGTGTCGCCCGACCGCGGAGCAATCCCAGGGCCGCGGTGGAGGCCGGAGAGGGGTCTAAGAAAGCACTGGTCACGCGCGTCCGTGCGCAGTGCGCCCGCGCTGGGGGCCGCCTTCCGATTTTCTTTGAGGCCACTTTCCTGCAATTCAGCGAACACAGGGCAACGCTTTCTGGCGAAATATGCCTCCCACCCAGTATGTCTACACCATCGCAGGAGAGCACCTCTGCTTATTTCCCCAGCCCCTGAAAAGAGAGCCCGCAAACAGTTTCAAGTGGATGTCAACTTGAGCAGCTCGGCGGTGGAAACACTTTCAGGGTTAAACAGATGCGCGCGCGCGCGCGCCCGCTCCAACCCGAGAGTTTACTTTGCATCAATAAGCGTCTAGCGAGAACCAATGGCTGACTTTTTCCAAATCGTCCATTTAAGGCAACAGTTTTTTTTCCCCTGATAAACCCGAGGGCCGCAGCTGTGCGCGTCCACAAGCAAGTCGTTTATACGCGCAAAACTCATTCCTGAGAGGCGGGCGGGCCCCCGGCGCAGCTGCGGCGCGGGGCTGGGCTCGCTCGGGGCTGCGGCCCGGGACTTGTTGCCTCTGCGGCCCGACCGCGGCGCCCCCAACCCATCACCCCGGGCTCGGCGGCCCCGGGACCGCGACCCAGGGCTGGGGGGAGCGCCTCCTGTAAAACACCCGCAAAGCCGACGCGCAGCCTCAGGAGGCAGCCCCCGGGCGGGAACCTGCGTTACTTTCTGGTCCCTGAACACGCCGGGAACAGTCTCCCCGAGCGCCCTGGCACCGTGTTCCAAAGCCCAAGAGAAAACAGGCAGAAAAAAGTGAACTTACCCACCTGCCACAAAACTACATTCTGAGCGTCCTCTGGACACTTTGGCTCTTCCTTTAGTGCCGCGGCCTTTTCTTTCCTCTTGCCAGACACCGTTTCAAACTAGCTGCGTTTCTTAAAAAAATAATTTTAAGAACTAAATAAAACCGGGTTTTACACCTCTCACATCTCGCTAGCTAGAATCTGCCTGAAATACTTGTGTCTTCATTCTTTCTTTAACGAAATTCCCAAAACACCACCTAGGCAGCAAGGCTTAAAGTTTGTGCGGTGTGTGCGCCTAAGTGTGAATGAGTGTGTGAGTGTGAGTGTGAGTGTGTGAGTGTGTGAGTGTGACTGTGTGAGTGTGTGACTGTGTGAGTGTGTGACTGTGAGTGTGTGACTGTGTGTGTGTGACTGTGTGAGTGTGTGACTGTGAGTGTGTGACTGTGTGTGTGTGACTGTGTGTGTGCGCGCTCGCACGCGCCCGCTGGTGTGAGAGGTAGTTGCTTTTAAAAAGACGTCGTTGTCACTCAGGGTAATGGAAGTGTGGCCCGGCTTCGGTGGGGGTTCTCCGTGCCCCTCACTTCAGTTAACTTTTTTCGAGCTGAGAAAGCTGCTCGCTAACTTTCGGGAGATTTTGCCGGCCATTCATCTGTTTAGTCGCCTCAGAAGCACAAAAGCTGATCCAAGGCGTTATGAAAAATGGCCTGGGCGCGGAGAATGTCACAGTGGTCGGCGTATTATTTTAGCCTTCTTAAAAAAAAAAAAAAAAAACTCAGGGAAAGTTTGCTTTTGATGAATTCAATAAAAGCAAAGCTGCAACGGAAGAGATTTTCAGCCAAAATCATACAGCATGGGGCAGAGCTTAAAACAGCCAGATGGCCAAAGGTAGACGGGCCCTCTGGATTTCAAAACCCAGCTCTAGAATTCCGCCGCCTGAGCTGCTTAACTTATTTAATCCCGCGTATATCTTTATTTTTTCTTTCAATTGATTTCCCCGCTCTCTTTTTCACCTCTCCTTTGGTCCCCACCCTGCGCCCATCCTAGGAGTGGCCGGCGGCACACTGCCTTGGGGTTTGCAGAAGTCACTTTTCAACTTCCCCTTTGATAACAGACTTAAACTTTGGAGCGGCCCTGCCGCGGGTGTGAAACCGGCCCTGAAAGCCCCAGGCCCTCGCCGCCGCCCTCGGTCTTGCTGGAATGCCTGGGTCCCTGCCATCTCCAGGCAGCTAAGGCTTTTGAATGTAAGGACGAGTCTGTTCTCACCACCACCCCTGCCCAACCCTTCCCCCGCGCAGCGTCGGAAATCGGAGGACACGGCTAACCCCTCAGCCTTGCACTCTCTCGGCTCCCTCCCTTTCAGTCTCCCATCTCAACCCGCAGAGCAGCGTATCCCCGAAAATTTTCCTAGGGTCCCCTATAAAGTGCATAGGGGTCAGAGGGGCACAGACTGGGGAGGCCGCAGCAGCTCCATTCCAACTTTGGAATGGAAGCTGTGAATTTGATATGCATCCCATGTGAGCTAGTTCTTGGAGCCCGATGCCGGCTAAGCACAGAAATGGGGGGAGAAGACTGAGCACCTGGGGCCCTGCCTCTGGGGGGGAGCCGCCAGGATCCCATCCCTCTGCCTTAACCCTGACTGGGTTTAGCCCGGTCTGGGAATTTGGCCACCACCACCCGGAAGGCCTCCGGATGGACTGCACGGTAGTCCCGCTACAGCTCTCCAGGCTTGGGAACTGGGTGCGGTGGAGGGGCGGGGCTTTAGAAGGATTTGGAGATTGGGGTTCCGCGGGCCCAGGTCTAAGCGCAGAAGACACCCGCCCGCGGGCCAGCAGGGGTTTGGGGGAGTGGCTGGGAAAGAGGCGGGAGAGATCGGAGGGCTCGCGGATGGCGCTGGGTGTGCAGGGCCTTGGGCGAGCAGCGGGAGGAAACGGGGAGGCGGGATCTGAGCCTCCCCAGGCCCCCCCCAAAGGAGATGCAGTTCCAGGAAAGGGAAGAGTGGCAGCGCTGGCGGGGCTGCTCCGAGGACTGCCCAGCCTCTCCCCGGCTGAGGACCCTCAACAAAGGCCTTTAGACACCCCCAACCCTCTGTTCCCCCATCTCTAAAATGGGCGCGAAGAATAGAACCTATCTAAGGGGAGTTTTGTTTGCTCCTTCGTTGGTGTTAAATAGACTGCAGGGCGCTTCAGCGTGCGAGCCATCACAGCGCGCCGCCCACACGTGTAGCTGCTGCTGTTCTCACTGTGCGTGCCGGTGCGGGCTCTGCGCTCACCGTGCCCAGGACCCCGAGACACGGGCTCCCAAAGGCGGTGCGGGGCCCTTGCCCTCTTGTCCCTGGCTCTAGAGACCCAAACGTGTCCAGGTTGAGAGAGCCCGCAGAGGTCCCCGGGTCCCGAGTCCCGGGAAGGGACCCGCTCTCCCTGCCCGCACCCCCCCCCCC